CTGCTATGAACTATTACTGCTATCACTGAGAGAAAGGTTTCAGCAAGTCTGGAACCTCTCGTAAAACAGCAGAAAGAGCAGCCAGAGGCAATGGAAGAGTTGATCTATTTAGAATCTTTCAACAACATTGTCTTAATAATCTTTAGTGAATAGTACACCCGCTACAGTATTCTCACATAACCTTAACTGGAGTTAAATTAAGAGACCCTCATATTGCTACAAACTAAAGACAGAATACAAATTTATTGTTTGCTGGTTTTGTTTAGATTGCTTAACATAAGATTAAAGGAGCTGCATATGCCTGTAATGATCATGCCGTCAGCTGATACAAAATCTCACTGATGTTAGGAATTTGTTTACTTGTATATTAAAAAAATTAAAATATTTTAAATAGGAGTTTTAAGTCATAGTTCCAAAAAACTACTACTGGAGGTTTCATTTAAAACTTTTACTATCATTTAAGAAAAACAAAGTAAAATGCTGAAGCTCTTAGATGCAAAATGATGCCACATTGTTTACAGCCATTTGAAAGTACAGTTTGTCATGAAGTATCTGTGAATTTCAAATAAAAAACACTGCTGAACAATTTAAATTTTCAATTGTCAAAGCCTGAATGTATAGCCTAAACAGCAGTATTTTACTATGTTAAAGAAAAAGACAACATCTGCGATTATGTTAGACACAACAGAAAATAAAACATACCAGACTCAGTTGCCTGAAAGCGATAAAGAGACAGAACTACTTTGCAATTGCTTTCAGGAAAAAAGAAAAAAAAAAAAAAAAACAAGCACAACAATGCTATAATTCACAAAGATCAATGCAGTGGAACCCAGTACTTTCCATTAAAAAGAAAAAGTTTCTCTTCTTAGTCACTGTATAGCACTCAATTTGCTGCAAAGCAGCCATGTTTTTGTTCCTGGACTTCCATAGCTTCCATAAGCTTCTTACGGAATAAAAATGATGTCTTCTTCCTTCTTCCATTCCCGAACCAGAGATAACTTTCACAACTTTCTCCTCTTCCTCCACATCATCTCACTGACAAGCCCCCAAACAAGACACACATACATACAAACATACAGCTAAATGGTTACTAAGGTCCCAAGTATCAGAGATGCACCTTTGTACATCTGATCACTAAAAGACAGGACCAAAAACTTCACATAACCTTGACATTACTAACAAATGTGAGAAAACTTAAGAATTATATGTAATGTCTTGAAATTTAAAGGCACGCTATTTGCATAAATCAGAGAGGGCGTAACAGGGGAGAACATTCTCTGCATTAAAGCATAAAACTCTCAATTGCAAGCTGGGGGGATAAAAAAGCAGATAACCAAATCATTACCCATTAAAGAGATGGAAACTACCCAGAGGCTGAAAAAGAACACAGAGTATCTAATCCCCAATTACAAACACATACGAGTGAGAAAAAAAGCATACAGAAGAGCCAAAAAATCTGTAAAGATTGTGTAGACAGCTGAATTTTTCTTATGTATTCATTTAGAGTCCGCAAAGCGTTGAGTCTTGCCCATTAATAAGTAAAAGAGGCAAACATGGGAAAGTCATCAACTTCTCTAAAACCATACGTGTTCTAGCTCCCCAAAAAAAGAGTCTGGAGGCTCTAACCCATTAGCAGCAAAGTCAGCACACAAGATCTGACATTTCACCCTATCATCCACAGGAAACAAGTCCATCGTTACAGCAATTTAAAAACACCATTATATCAAACTACACATTTTGTGTTAATGTAACATTCATTACATGCAGTTGTCTAGTGTAACTAGAAGTTAAGGCTGGAGATTAAAATGTATTAGCAATTCTAGTACCACTAAATATATTTAAAAAACAAAACCAAAACCCCCTATGTGTTACATGTTACACTTGACAGAGTTTCAAAATCTAAAAAGAAACTTCTTTATGTTATGCATATCCTGTTTAAGAAAAACAATACTGTATGTCAAACTTGACAACAAAACTGATGAAAATTAACACCTTTATATAATTTGATAAAAAAACAAGGGAAACTTCAAGGTGAAGAGAAGGCAACAAAAATAAAGGAATCTTATCTTTAAAGTGGAGAAAGTAGTAGAAAACAACCCAACCAATATAAGTAATGTAAGTTTCGTTTTTAAAATTACACCAATACTCAGAAGCTAAACATATCTCATGCTACAGGATACAGCAGTTAAAGAACAGAGTAAGACAAGGTTAAGAAAGAAAATGCCGTAGCAAAAACTTAACACAAAAGCACAATGACACAATGTTTATCCCCACCAGAATTCAAAAGAAATTTGCCAACAATACTATTCATGATGGAACTGTAAGAAGTGCAGATTTCCAAACAACAAAATTTCTAGATAAAAAGTTAAACCACATTAAGAAAGCAATAACCATTTTCACTGCTTAATGAGAGTCCAAGTATTAAATATGCTACCAGCAGTGTGCAGTTTGGTACATTGCTTAAAACTTCCATTAGAAATTACATCATTTGCTTGCACTTATCAACTGTTTAAAATAGAATAGTTATGATTAACAAATCACCTGTTTCAGTTTTACTCGAGAAACCCGCTGCCTGCTTGATCGCTGCTGCTGTTAATGCTAATCCTCGGCTCCTCCTCAGACCATGCTGTAACACAGCTTCAAACTGAGCACACAAACAAGTGACTCTGCAATAGAATTTTAATAGAAATCATGTGAAAAGAACCATCAACTACGTTTCTGCAGAGCAGGTTTATTCCAAATCTCTGAACAGAGAATGTAAAGGTGAACCATTATCTTACAGGTAGTAAAAGACCCCTTGTGTGCACTAATCTCATTATTTGCAAACAGTATAATCTACTTTTACACACAGTTTCACCATGACTATCCAAAGCTGGGGCACAAATTACATTCAGAAGAACTGGCAATCAATTTGAGAATCATCTTCACCTGCTACAGTGGTGGATATTTCAGCTTCCACATTACCTACTGTTCATGTAATGCAATTACATTTTCATAAATATACTTTGTACTACACACACAATGAATGATTTTCCAAAAATACGCTATAACTTCCTATAAATTAATAAACAATTTCGTTAATTTGCACTAGTACACTATAATTCAAGCCTAGGAAAACAATTAAACAAACATTTTAATTTCCTTCAGAAATCCTAGGCATAGGAAAATAAAAAAGATTTTTCTGGAGATGTGTTGAATCTTCAAGTTCTGATGTTGTTCTCTACAATACTATTTATACATTTCCTTATTTATTTATTTTTTAAACATAACCCTATTAATAAATCAATTTTCACACAAGTAGAAACACTGTAAAACCAGGAAAGTTTTAAAATTCAGCCTGCCAAAGAAAAGAATATTATTGTAACCTACAGGGAGTAGTAAGGCTTAAGGTATAACAGACATGGATGTAATCTGTTTGTCTGAATCTTATTTTCTCTAAGTTTTATTTTCACCATAATAATACTAATACAATACCTAAAACTTAAGCTTTGAGAAAGTTGTCACCTGGCTGCCAAAGTTGATTACTAAAAGTAATCGGTCACAACAGCCCCATACAGCGCTACAGGCTTGGGGAGGAGTGGCTGGAAAGCTGCCTGGCAGAAAAGGCCCTGGGGGTGCTGGTCAACAGCCGGCTGGACATGAGCCGGCAGTGTGCCCAGGTGGCCAGAAGGCCAACAGCATCCTGGCCTGTGTCAGCCATGGTGTGGCCAGCAGGCGCAGGGAGGGGGTCGGGTGGTCAGACCACACCTTGAGTACTGTGTCCTGTTTTGGGTGCCACAGTGTAGGAAAGACGTTGAGGTCCTGGAGCAGGTCCAGGAAGGGCAATGAAGCTAGTGAGAGGTCTGGAAAGCAGGTCTTATGAGGAGCGCCTGAGGGAACTGGGGGTGTTTAGCCTAGTGAAGGGGAGGCTGAAGGGAGACCTTGCAGCTCTCTACAGCTACCTGAAAGGACGCTGTAGTGAGGCCAGTGTTGGTCTCTTCTCCCAAGCCACTAATGACAGGACAAGAGGTAATGGCCTCAAGCTGCGCCAGGGGAGATTTAGATTGGATATTAGGAAGAATTTCTTTACTGAAAGAGCAGTTGGACATTGGAACAGGCTGCCCAGGGAGGTGGTTGAGCCACCATCCCTGGAGGTGTTCAAAAGACATTTACCTGTGGTGCTTAGGGACCTGGTTTAGTGGTGGGCTCGGTAGTGTTAGGATAATGGTTGGACCTGATGATCTTAAAGGTCTTTTCCAACCAAAACGATTCTATGATTCTATAATAGCAGAAGGACTCCAGGTTAGGCAGTGCTTTGAGCTGACACTTTTCTGTATGATATTCAGCTACTCTGGTATCACTGTTAAACCTAACCCTAAAGAAGTTTTTAAAAATTCTAAAATTTTGTAATTTTTTAAAAAAAAAATTATTCCTGATGTAATGATAGAAACTATTTTGTAAGGTATTTATAGGAAATAAAAAGATTTTTATAGGAAATAACAAGATTCAGAAATCAAATCATCTTATGACAGTCTTTAAGACTGAGCTTAAGAAGAAATGCCATGAAGAAGCAATAACATTACTCTGGTCTTGCTGTTATAGTTGTATTTCCTGTGTCAGAATTTATAGCAAGGAAAACAAGCAATCTGAAGAAGTTAAACAATTAACAGTATATCTCATTAATATGCATGTAATGAAAAGGTGCATTGTCCCATATATCTGCAATTAAAATGAAACAGCTGTAGCCACAGGGAGACTTGTAAACATTTGTATTAAAGTCAAATGTAGACTAATTTGATTTGATCAATACTTCTGATACTATGTTAATAATACTATTTTTGAAAGATTGCTCAAATTAGTGATGAGATTAAGAGCATTTTTATGTGCTTTGCTGAATAGCAAATGATCTTGGTATCATCTTAAGCGTGTTGCTGAATTAGTGTCACTATGTATGTGACTTTTAGATCTGAAATGAGCAAGCATGCACACAGAAATTAATCTTTTTTGTCCCTTCTCTTTAGATGAGCTTCGTCAAGCTATTGTGGCCATGATGAATAGAAAGGATGAACTGGAAGAACAAAATAGGTAGTTTTCTTTTTCTAGTTAAGAGTCACTATAATTTAAAAAAATCTGTTCTCTAATACAAGCTGTCATTTGTGTAAAGCTATGCGTAATCCTTGTGTGTTCTTTTTGATATATGTATTATTTTTCTGTGAAAACTAAGCTTAATACTTCAATATTCAGCTGTTGGTACTGAAGAGTAATATTTGCAGGTCAACTTTTTCCTTTGAATTCTAATCACATACAGCTATCTGTCTTTTGGGAGCTTTTGCCAGTTGCAATTTTTTTAAAAACAAAACTTACAGCCAAAAGATTCGTAAGATCTCTTGATATAGGTTTCCAAATGAGTAAAAGTTTGTCTTTACACAAATATTCAGAAAATTTCCTTTTTTCCCCTTCTGGTGCAGAAGTGATATAGCATGGCTAACAATGTTACGCTGAAAATGGCTGTCATTTGTGAGTGTTTTCATGTGCACTTTTGGGGCAAAATGATGATGCTGCTTATTTAAAATCTATCAGACCTACTTTGTATTTATTTAGTCTATTGGAACACATCATTAGATGAATGAAAATACAAATGTATTCAAGACATACTATTGTTATGCTGTAGTAGGGCTATTTTGGTAATTTACATTTTTCTATGTATATATATATATATTTTTAACATCAAGACTACCAACTGATCCCATTTTCCTGCCTCATATCCTCTCCATTCCCGTAATTGCAAGTTACTGCCCCATTCAGCTTTGCGGGTTTTTTTTGGCAGAAGGACCAGGATACTTTGGGTGCTACCATTATGCATCACGCTGACTTTGCTGTCCCATCAAAGGTTTTACACAGAAGGTTATGGCAGTACTCTCAGTAGAGACAAGACCTCTACTTGCCTCCTACTCTTGCTAGTAAATATATTGCTTATAGATTATTCTTGAGATGTATGGACTTGCGCTGAAACCAGATTATAAGCTGTTTTCTATAATAAATTCTTTCTGTATGGTGGTACAGTAGATACCATAGAAGGTTGTGCTTTGGGCTTGTTGATGAGATTGTAATACAAATTAATAGTAAGTACTTAAAACTGTTTTGATTGGGTCCTTTTTCCTTGTAGCTTTTCATATTTTTGTATAATCAAATCAGGTGAATTTATTACATTGAATATTGAAATTTTATGATGACATTAATGGTACCATCCAGGTACCTACTCTGTGATTCATAGAATATCCTCTAATTACTAGGTAGTGTTTACAGTGTTCTAATAGAGGCTGCTGCCTTCCAGATCTCTGAGAAATCTGCTTGATGGAGAGATGGAACACTCTGCAGCACTAAGGCAGGAGATGGACAACTGGAGAAGGAAAGTAGCAGAACAGGAAGAGCGACATGCCACGAAAGTCCAAGCCTTGGCACGGTAAGAAGCACTGAAAGTGTCATAAAAAGTAACAGCAGTGAACAAGGGAATAAAATTCTGCATACTAGAAAAAATAATTTTCGAGTAGTTCAGTTTTTAGAAGAACACAAGTGATTTAGGACTAAAAATCCTATGGACTTTAGTTGAATTTAAGCTGAAAGACACCTTTGGAAGATTTACTGACAAATTTAGTGTGTTTGTGGTTTGTTTTGTTAAGTGTTAACAGTAAGTAAGAGTTTAAAATATTAGTAAAACCACTGCTGCAGCTCCAGAGGAAAGAATCTTAGTGAGCTGAACTTATGACAATGTCAAGTTTAATTTAAAAAAATTAGACTAATATTAAGAAATATAAGCCATGAAAATAGCAACAGTTAGATAATGAGACTAGATTCAAAGGAATACATGTATGCATAAAGTAAATGCAAGAAGTCTTTTCTCTCTTTATATGTCTAGTTCTAACCCCCCCCCCCCTTTTTTTTTTTTTAAATTCATTATTATTTTACTTGATATTTGGGATATTCTTGGTATAGCTGTCTACCTAATTGGAACAAATCACAATATCAAGGGCCTGGTTTTTTCCTTCTATTGGATGTATGATATTCTTAATGTTGTTAGAGTACCGAGCACTGTCTGCAAACAGTAATTTCCAAACCTCAAATCTGGTACAACTTTTAAATATAAGGGGGTTGGGAGGGGAACAGAAACACCGTGTCAATCTTTATGGTGAACAGACTGATGTTGTTGTCCCAGAATAATGAAATGCTTGTTCTAGTAGTGGAAATGTCTGCTCCAGTGCATGTGTAAAACATAGGTTTTTTAAAAAATACACAAGCTAGGTCATTGGGATTCTAGTTCTCAGATCTGGAGCCAGTGAGGACTTGTTTTGGAGGCTGTTTGATTTTAATACTACTCCACAGTATTTCCACTGATAGATAGCTTATGTAGTTCAACATGGAGATTAGTATGAGGTCTCCTCTCCTCCCAGCAAGTTCTTACTTCAGTCAGTAGAAATTGTGCTGAGTGCTCCTACTGTCAGTTAAATTGGGTAGGAATATCTGTGTCTTCATTTATTGCTTTCAGTTGTATAGAGTATGTCAGTGTCAGCTGCTGCTGACGCATACCCTTCTGTATGTACTCTCACACATGTAAGCAGTAAAGAATGGATTATCTATCATCTTCAGTGACATTTCTGTCCGATCTGTCTTCTGTCTATCTGATTATTTAAGTGTGACTTTGTTTTCCTTGGGCTGATGTTTTCTTCTTGTCCTGTTGCCAGGTTTTCATGGCTGACCACTTTATCAACCACTGTATCATAAGCACAGTTGTTGCCAAACAGTATGAACAGTACCAATTTCTGAAGTGGTGCAACTGCTTCCCCCTAGCTCTAGGAAGGTCAGCTGGAGCAGATTGCTCAGGACCATTTCCAGTCAGGTTTTGATTATCTCCGCAGATGCAGACTGCACAGCTCCTCTGGGCAATGTTGTTGGCAGTGACCCATAGTCAATGCTCTTCCTCATGTGATGCAAGGTGCTGTTGGCTTTCTTTGCCACAAAGGATGCATTGCTGGCTTGTGGTCAGCTTGTTATTCATCAGGACTCCCGGATCCCTCTCCGTAGATCTGTTTTCCAGCCCCCAGCATGTATGGATGCTAGGCCTATTCCTCCCCAGATGCAGGACTTTGCATTTTCCCTTGTTGGACTTCAAGCGATTCGTCTGCAGATTCCAATTTTGCAGCCTGTCCAGATCCCTCTGAATGGCAGCACAACCATCTGGTGTGTCAGGTGCTCCCCAGTTTTGTGTTGTCTGTGAACTTGCTGAGGGTGCAGTCTGTCCTAGCATCCAGGCCGTTAATGAAGGTGTTAAACAACATAGGCCTCAGTAGTGACCTGCCTCCATCTTGACTTTGTGCCACAGCTATGCTGAAAGAAAAGAGTTTTAACCCTCTCCTTGTCCAAATGTGTTTAGCTTAAGAAAGACTTTTGAAGGTAAATGGTGCTGTAATAGTGTGATTTTCTTCTTACAATTCTAAATAAGCTCTAAAGGAACCTATAATGCCTAATATCATGGGGATGATTCACGTGTATTGTAAACAACAAACATATCCCAAATGTTAAATAAGATTAGTAATCTGTGCCTTATCACAGAGAGAAGTGTTTGTTTTCTGCATGCGCAGGCAGAGTGCTTAGTGTCAATCGTGAAGTACCGCAGCTGAGATTGCTATAAGCTTTTTATTGCATAGCAGAACTAGTATCTGAAAATTATGAATGTAAAGCTTGCTTAAAAAAATTTAAAAATTCAAACGTTACTAATTCTGCTTTTGATGACACATCAAACCGAACTACTCACTTTGAGGGAGGGAGAGATATGTGTAAGTGGGTTTGACATTCATGTGATGTAGGGCAATTAAGACAATGCAAATACTTCATCATTTAATATTCATATTTCAGGTTATAGGAATTGTATATTCATATTTCTTTGACTCACTTCCCCCACAGTTTTATAATTTACAGTGACATGGGTGAATCAGATATTTGTCATGCATGTACCTTTTTAAAGAATAGATAAGGAGCTTTTATAACAACATCTAAAGAGATGCTCACTTAGACTAACTTGTTATTTTTAAACAAGTTTGTTTAATTTCTCTTGTCACTATGGAGACTGGGTATGTTCTGTTAATTGTTCTTCTGAAAGTCAGTTTATCTTGTCATGTGATAAAAACAGTGTTGGGAGCTGTTTAGGTACAACAAATTCCTGTGTCAATGGTTATTTTGGACTTTGGATGCATTTCTTTAATAATTCATTGCAACTCATTTTCTAGCACATAAGAAACTTTACATATAGTTATTTTGGAATATTGGTTTTTCTTAATTTTTTTGTTTGTTCACTTTGTGCACTGTAGGTGATGCTGCTGCAATAGTAGGAGTAGTAAAATTTATTAAATAAAATTTTAAACCAGGAATATGGGCAAGCTGAATAATTTGAAGAATTTAAAATAAAGATTTTGGAAATGCTTTGTAAGTGCTGCAAAATACAGTAGGTGAGTGAGAGGAAACTAAGTTTCGGATATTTTGTAACAGTGAAATCTCACTGTTGAAAACAATTGATCACATGACTAGAGTAGAAAAATTTCCTTGATTGTAATATTCTGAACATCTTAAGGCAAGGAAAATTATGCAGTAACAATCTGACTGTTGTAAGTTGATGAACAAATATGCTTCAAATTGAAAGCTGATATTTATGTGTGTCGCCAAAACTCTTGTGAAAAATTTGATGTGAATATCTTCCTGAAGGCTTTGAGAAGACAGATTTCAGTGACATATCAGTCAGCATTGAAATGGTTACTTCTGGATAGCTGCAGAATTGATTTATTTGGCTGGTCTCCTAGACTCTCTGAAGAATCTTTGGTCTCCTAGACAAAATGCTAGCTTGCTTAGAAAAATTTTCCTGAGTTTCCTAAGTTCTCTTTCAAAAATGGAAAAATTCTTAGGTCATTTTAGTTTCAAGTAGTGGTAATCTCATTCTTCTATGTGAAGTGTTTGAATAGCTTTTTCATAACAGTTATGATACTGTTTCAAAACGAGCAGTCTAAGCATTCAACCTATTTCCTAGCCTTCCAATACATTAGACTAAATAGACTCTCTAGTATAATTTTGTAAGCTCCCCCCCTATCAATAAGCCTTTCTTAAATTGCATGGACATATATTGCCGGTGGCTTCTTGGCAATGATAAAGTTTTTTAATTGAGATTCTTTTTTCTGTATGGAATACTATTACATCCCTTTGCAAGGCAAAGAAATTTATTGAAGTTGACTGTGAAATTGGATAATCTCGGATTGCATATTCTTAGACTATATTCAGAAATGTTGGAGGAAAGCAATTTACAAAGGACAGGCTTTGTAAAAGAAAAGCAGATAGAAAGAGAAGATGGTAAGGCACTGTGTAGGAAAATGAGGGATGAGAATTTGACTATCCTTTATCTTAAACTTTTATGTACCTTCTGTTTACTGTACGTTCTGTAACGTAATCTGCCTCTTCTTATCTAGTGTCTGTATTATCCACATTGCTTTTAGATTTGGCATTTTATATTAATCTGTTTTACAACACTTCATTCAGAGCCGTAGCGCTTCAGTGTTGTGTGAAATGATGTTTTGTGCATCATGAAATGCTTGCATCACTTACCTTAAGCAGCAGTTTAGAGAGAGGAAAAAATACCTCTTGTCCATGCTTGTGAAAACTAATTTGAATATACCTATATTTGATGATTTATTTTTCCTGCTTGGTTAGTTGGTGACTTGTCACAAGTTACAAAAACATTTTATAAAAAGAGTGAGATATGTTACTTCGTAAGGTATACAACTTCCTCATATTTCGTATTCACAAAGCCATTTTTTGCTTTTTCGGATGTGATATCAATGCTAAGATAGAGCCCTTTCATAATTTAGATAGGAACACAGTTTATGTTGTGAAGCTATCACAAGAATACCTTGCAGTTTATCATTCATATGATGTTTGTCTTTCACGACAAGCAGGTAAGTTTATCACATTATTCCTCATTACAGGTTTTTTCAGATTGGTTTTATACTGTAATCTCATTATGTTGTATATAGTTCAACTTCCACTTCTATGAGTAATAGTTCTCATTTTTCTTATTTCATTTAGGGTATATATGATTGCAATGAATTGCGATCTTGCACCTTCTAATAGGAGGATCATAGGATAATTCAGGTTGGAAGGCATCTCTGGAAATCATCAAGCACAACCTTTGTATAGATTCTACATATACTTGCACTACATTGTTTATTTCAATTCATTCTCGAGATTCATGCAATTTTCTTATTATTTGAAGATTTGGTACCTTTATAGTGTTTTCTGAAACACGAAGGTTTTTTCACTCTATCGCTTTTAGCAAGATATAGACATCGGTTGGAATTTTTTTTTTTTTTTTGGTAAGCCCGAATTTAGAGATAAGACACATTTCAGGAGTAAGCTGCATAAAAGCAC